AACTAAAATCAAAATGGATTAAAGATCTAAATATTAAAATAGAAACTCTGAACCAGTTGGAGCAGAAGTTAGGTAGAACCCTTGAAGACATCGGTATAGGAAAAGATTTTATGAACAAAACCTCAGTTGCCCGTGAACTAGCACAAACAATCACCAAGTGGATTCTCTTCCAATTCCACCAAGTGGAATCTCTTCCAATCATGTTAATCTTAAGTGGCCTCACAGTAATTTAAACCTTGGTCTGGATGATTTGGAAATGTATATTCATGAGCATCATGTTGTGTAACTATCCTTACCTAGACATGAAGAACTTTTAAGTCTCTACATTTATATTTTTCTGGGTGAGTCTGGGCAGGACTCTTAATTGTAGCAGAGAGAAGTGCCTTGTGCCAATTTAAAGCATGCAAAAATAAATGTAGACTCACAGAGTCAGAAACCTGAGTCTCCTCTGTGATACTGTGGACAACATCATGAGAAATACTGTTATACAGACTGAAATATTTATATTTAGAAAAAATTGCAGGTATTTTAATTTTTATGAAATTTCTATAGAACTATTTATTAGGGTTTTTAAAAATTTTGTAACTATGCTCCTAAAAAGTTAAATATAAATTTCAGGGTTTCTTAGCAGAGTTCATTATTTAAGGCAAATGTATAGTAAATACTTTTGAGTTATATTCATTTATTAGTGTTTACCTAATAGAATATTAATATACTAGTTTCTTTGAAGTGGGATACACTCATTGGTACTTTCTCACTCAGAGAAATGTATGGCCTAGAACTTGTAACATTCAAGTGATACATGAAAGTAAATTTTAAAAATTTAACTTTAAATTAGAAACCCAACATAGAATAAAAATAACAATCAATTTAAGTTTAATTACTAGAATGAAGACTGTATTTACTATCATTTTATTTTTAAAGTTTATTGGCTTTCTGGATTTCATTATTAATTAGAGAAATAATATTTAAATGGATTCCCAACCAGATGTCCCAGCTGTACACTCGGGTGCGCGCACACACACACACACACACACACACACACACACACGGGTGCGCGCGCACACACACACACACACACACACACACACACACACACATGCAGGCATACTTAAAATTAAAGATACATATCTAGTAGTGACGAGTGAAAAGAAATATGGAAAATTAATAATAATAAATGATGGCTAGGATTTCTGTGATACCTGAAATTGGAAACATGCTTCCTAAAGTGATGTGGTGGAAGAAACGTCGGATTTTAATCAGAAGTAAATTGTAATGATTACTTCTCCACTTAGTATTATCTATGTGAAGTTGGACAAATCCCTTAGCTGCCCAGAGCTTTGGGTTTCTAATCTGTTAAAGGACTGTAATAGAGATTCTCTCTAAGGATCAAAAACTAACATACGTGCAAATCCCTTAGAAATTGTAAGCCATTGTACAGATTTCAGAGATTAGAGGGGTAGAGATTTCAGAGATTCCTCAAACATCTCGTAGATTATTTCAGAGATGAAATAATTGTGTCAGACATAACTGTCCTTCAGTTTTTGCATGAGGAAACTGAGATGTGCAACAAGAATTGAGTAGCCAAGCTAAAGTTTGATCTATTGCTTCATTGTCCAAATGTGGTATTTTCTGCACGACAACATGCATTTTTTTGGGGGGGGTGTGCCAGGGATCGAACTCCGGTCCTTAGCTTGTGAGGCAGGCGGTGGAACGACTGAGCTAAATCCTCGGCCCTACAACATGAATTTGAACAGGCCTATACATCATTCACGGGGTAAGGCTATAGTAAATTTTACTATAAGCTGATTAAAAAAAAAATTTTAAAGCATATAACTGTGATGTTTCTTAATTACAACTGATAATATTACTAGATAATATTTACTCTTTTTAATGCAGGCAATGAATTTGGGCATCCTGAATGGTTAGACTTCCCAAGAAAAGGAAACAATGAGAGTTACCACTATGCCAGAAGGCAGTTTCATTTAACTGATGATGACCTTCTTCGATATAAACACCTAAATAACTTTGACAGGGATATGAATAGATTGGAAGAAAGATATGGTTGGCTATCAGCTCCACAGGTAAGCTCTTTACTCTAAATGTGATGTTTTAGTCAGCAATGCTGTACATGCTTAGAATGGCAATGGATTTGAATCCATATGCAGATCTTCTCAACAGTACTTTATTATTCAATGTGTAGTGCCCTGTAACATACTTCAGGTTGTCAAAACATGTCACTGAAGTCTCTCCAGTACGTAATGAAAATCTTCAACATAGTGCCCTGCTTACTTGTCTGGTTAGTTTGTTGTCGTTTAAATTTAGTAATTTTCATTTCATTTGGTTAAAATAAATGGCAAAAGCACTGCATGGAACCCATTTTGGAAATTGCTGTGGAAACATCTTAATTGTTTTGACTACTTTTCCGTATATAAATAATTATGTTGTCATAAACTACTTTGACAACATGTAGATTTCTTTATTCCTTTTTTCCCTTCTTTACTGGTCTCTAACTTGTCATTTCAATAGATGTCATTATACCTGTGTACTGTTTTGTATTTTTCATGAGCCTGATTCTCCTCTGGAATTAAAGTCTCAGTTTTCAATAAGTTTTAGAAAATGTAATTAACAGGTGCAAATTTTATACAGGCGCTTTTTTCCTTACAAAAATTAGCATATAGTATGTGTTAGTTATAATTCATTTACTTTATATTGGTGCTGTTTGAAATTACTGTTGATGTGTTTTTACTTTGGTGTCTATGATTCTTGTTTTTAATGGCTGAACAAAGGTACTTATATATTCAATAAGATTGGCTACATGACACAAATGCCCTAATCACATTTATTAGTAATGCTATTTCTGGAAGACAGAGCAAAACGATGCTCCTTTTCAGTAGGAGCAACGTTGAATACCAAAAGGCACACTGTTTACTCTGAGCCTTGGTTCACATTTCTAAATTACTGAGAGTGGTGCTGCTGATATGCATGACAATAAGTCCTCTCAAAGCTGAGGAGGGGAGGGGTGGGATGATGCTGAAAAGCAAAGGCTTCTCACAGCCAACTGTAAATACATGATGTATAAAATGTGGGCCTTTGCAGGTGTTGTTTCTTTTCAGACCTTTTCCTTTTATTGATGGGAAAAAACTTGAGCATATTATAATAGAGTGGCCATTGAATCTGTCAAGTTGAGTAAAATTGTAAAATGTGTATGATGCCTATAATTTCAGAATCTGTTACAATATAACATTAAGTTTTGAAAAGTAACTTTATGAACACTTTAGGCTGGAGACCAAAACAAAAGTCTTCAAAAAAATTCACTTATAAAGAGATGTGATATATACAGATGAATGTTTTGTATGTAGTTCAGATACCAAGTTTTTACTTGATACCTGAACTGCAACATTAACTCTCTGTTTGTGTTTTGAGACTAGCAAGTGGCGAGTGAGATTTTTATACTCACTAAGTATATTTTGACATGCCTGTTGACTTAGAATTTGATATGACAGTAATGTTTAAAAATATAAAGTTGTGGATTTTCATGTCTGGATTAGTAACTAATAAGACTACTAAGGAAGACGGTATGATGTTTTTGTAAATAATTTACTTGTGGTGGCATCTATGGGTTATTTAAATGTAACATATGAGTTAATTCTTACAGGCCTATGTGAGTGAAAAACATGAAGGCAATAAGGTCATCACTTTTGAGAGAGCAAATCTTCTTTTTATTTTCAACTTTCATCCAAGCAAGAGTTTCACTGATTACCGAGTTGGAACAGCATTGCCAGGAAAATATCCTTTTTGTTGCCAATGAATATGTCTGTCAGAATTCACCTTTTTATTATGTCAGAGCGTAAAACTAACACTGATCTTGTAACAGTAGCTTTCAATTTCCTCATCCTAAAAATGAAGCACTTGAGCCATCAATTTTTGCTTAGCTCAGCTATACTGAATTATTCCTGAGCTTTGTTCTGGTTCTAAAAAAGTATAATTCTAAACATTTTTAAATAATTTTAAGCCTAATAAGAAATTTAAGAGACAATTGTAGTTTTTTTATGAAAGTATTTTTCTAAGTTAACTCTGAGGGTCATCTTCTTTCTACTTCTCCACGGAGGGAAAGACTGTAGCTGTAAGGTTAGCTTTCTTCCCTTTTCTTTATCTTTTCTTCTCAAATGCTAAATATTGTAAAGACAGTAATTTTCCTGACAGATACAATATCCTCATATAACACTTAAAATTGTGAAAAAGACACATAGCAGCATTGTAAGTTTGGAAATTGTTACAAGGAGAATTTACAGTCTATTTTAAAGGCATTGTGACTGTTAGTTCTATATTTTTAAAAAATTACAGATTTAGGACCTAGCAACAAATCAACAAAGAAACAGTTTGTTTCTCCTCTAAAGCTCTGATAATGGTTAATATCTGCCAAGGATGTCTGACACCAACATGAAGTCCTGTATGGTGACTTCAACTAAAATAAGAGAAACCTCTTCAACTGGCTGAATGAAAAAGAAAAAATGTCTTTCTCACATAATAGAAGTTCTAAGTTAGAGTGGCCTAGTAATGTGGCAGTATCAACTTTACTGTTTCATTCTTTCTGCCATTCAACTCTCAGATGTCAGCAATGTCCAAATGGTGCTCCATGTTACAGTTGTAATACAAGAACCATAGTTTTAAGTGTTACAACCTTTAGATACAACAGAACACTATTTTTTTCTGTGTTTTCAACAGTCAAGTCACTTTTTTTAGAAATTTTTCTTTTGTATTTCATTGACCAAAATTGGGTTTTCCCAAGATATTCCAGATATCCAGAAATGAGAATGGTATCCCCATTCTCATTTAAGTGAGCCTCAGGAAGTAGACTCCTTGGGAGACATGCAGACCTAATACGTTCAAAACAGGAAGAAAGAAAGTGTTGTCCAGTAAGTTGCTGCAGCATCTGCCTTCACCTGTGCCATTCTGAGACAATAAGGTGGTGAGAGATGGTCCCCTGCTTTTTTCCTACATCCGAACATTTCAGAGCAGGTGCTGTAATTGTAACAGATGCCCACTTGTTCCCCACTTAACCCAGAGAGTTCTCTGTGTTACCTTTCTCTTCTCTGTACAAAGAAATCTGTATGATGTGGTTACTTGCACTAGAAGAAAGGCAAATACTGGACATATAACAACTCATACATGAGCCTTCTTTTCTTAAAATTAATACTGATGGAATGCTGCTAGACCAAATCCTTCTATACCTGATGATATAATATAATCAAACTAGAATGTATTTACAGATTACTTTGTATTTTATTGCAGTCTTTATTGATTCTAAGTAGGGGAGAAGATACGTATGAAACCAAATGATGTGAGACACAGTGCAGTAAATGGGAAGGGAGGAAGTAGGTTACATGTTAGGACAGAGAACCAGGAAAAGAAAAAAGTATAATAAGCTATTAAGGAAAAGACCTTTAAGCCCAAACCTTGGGAAATGGGTAAGATTATAGGAGAAAAAAATCAGAAGGTCATTCCAGTGGTTGGAAAGCATAGAGTGTCCTTAGATAATAGGCAGTATAATGGATTAATTAAAGAATGATGACCATAAAAAGAAGTGCTAAAAGATAAAGCTAATAGATTGAGATCAAATAATAGAAGATTTTCATGCTATATTAATTAGTTTAAGCTTTTTATGGTTTTATAGTGAGTTGCTAAAGGTTTTTGAACTAGGGAACTACTTCATAAGAATATATGCTGTAGGAAAATTTTTCATGTATCAGGCTGTAAGAGAGCTGTCATGAAAAGAGAGATGGAAAGTACAGATATTAATTTTGAGAAATTGAAGTGCACCTGAAAGATAATTAGGGCATGAAATAAAGTAATGGCTCTGGGATAGGAAAAGGTATTTGGAGCACTTTTCTATAGTGAAAAACTTCATCAACATTTGGGACGTGGAGAGTAGAGGAGGAAATGTAAGATTTCACTGTGAACAATGAGAAGAATGATAGTAGGATTGTTCCTGAGGATAGGAAAGCAAGAAATAAGCAGTTGAGGAAATAGACAATATGAGCTTAATTTAAAATTATCAAAAAGTAGAAATGTGTGTTATTCTGAATAGTGATATTTAGAATAAAAGCCATGTCTCAAGCTCAAATGATCGATCTAAAATCCGTTACTTTTGATTAACAGATATTACAAAATGAAAATATCTAACAAAATAGCATATTTATTGAGTAGAATGCATGCAAAAATTAGTTTATATTTACTAGTATAGAATTATACTGATTATCATCACCTGCTTTGATTTTGATAAATCGACCTTAATTGAATCTTCTGAAATTTGGTAATCTTGTTCAGTGTCTACAAGCTACACAGAAATTGCCTATTTTAATGAATAAATATTAAGCTGGGTATTGTAGCACACATATATAATTCCAGTACTCTGAAGCAGGAGCATCACAAATTCAAGCCTATCTCAGGCAACTTAATAAGACCTTATCTCAAAAATTATAAAAAGGCTAGAGATGTAGATCAGTGCAAAAGCCTTGAATTCAGTCCTTAGTACCATAAATACATATATACATACATACATACATACATACATACATACATACATACGTGAGCTCCTTCAAAGCTTTATTCACATAAGTCATAATGATGGTAAATTTTACTAACATGTACAGCTTGGAAAATGGTGCTGTCTCTTTACAGAAGGTGTAAAGTCTCATTCATTTACTGGATCTCCCACAGTGTAATGGAGAAATATTATTGGCACATTTCCTATATTTTGGCTACAATAAAGTTATGCCTAGTTGGACTTTATTAATTTCTACTACCTATCTCATGCACATCTTTTTGTCAAAAAGAAATAATTAATTCATGTATGCTAGTGCTTCATCTAAAGACACATATTTCAACAAGTCTCTCTGAGTACATAAAAAGTATTGAAGACTAAATGGCTAGATATCTAATTGAATATTTTTATTACAGTAAGGATTTGAGGGCAGCAGGTGAGAAAGAGAGCATTCCCAACATACTTTACACTGCACTTTTTACTTAGTCGTACGTTAATAAAAACAGGGGTTCCCAAATTCCAAGAATCAAATAAAATCTGGATCTTGAGAGGGCCACTGTTCTACCATTACAGTTCAATTTGTGAGTTCCATCTAGATAGTTCTTCACAGATAAATAAGTAACTGTTATTGGAATACTTTCCAGTCCTAAGAAACTCACTAAATAACAAGATAAACAGTAAAGATGTTTAATTTTAATGTGTTAGACCCATGCACTAGGGCCAGTACCTTCTCTATATGCCAGATATTCCAATGAAAAAAGGCCTTGAGCATAGCACTGCAGTACCACTTCTCCCTAGCTCTCCCACTGCTATATCAAACACCTGTAGTTTTTAAAATAACTTCTCATGAGTTTGCCAGAGTTCATACCTATATATGTCTCTTATATAAATTCACCCAGCATTGCTCCCATTCATCCTCCTTTGAGCCACCAGAACCAAGAGCACAGTATTCTAGAGATGGTGGCAAGGAGGATGAAGGGTGTCCCGCCATCTTCATCTCAACGTTATTCTTTTACTAATAGAGTTCAAGTAAACTAGTCAGTTACCGAATTTTCTGGTCACATTGTATCTACATTCAAATAGAAACCTATAAAATAGAAATTTGTCTTTATTCCTAGTGTGTCTTATGTCCCATATTATTTATTCAATTAGTAATTTTAATCTAAAATTTCAAATTTAGCATTGAACATGAAGAAGTATAATCAGTATTAATTTTTGCTTTCTAACTATTCATAAAGAAGACAAAATATTAAAAGTACAAACAGTTCTGTTTCTAATCTGTTGAGATTGTACCATCCTCTGTAAGCACCAGATAGACCTCTTCTTCAAATTCTTGTTGTTCTAAGCTTACCATTGAATTTTCTTTTTAAATTATTATACTTAACATTTTAAAAGTCATTTCTTTCTGGCTTTTTATCTTTTTCACATTTTTTATTTTTAAACTACATTTTAAATCAGCTTTATAAATACAATTTATATTTAAATATAGAAAGTTTAAAAAATATGGTATTAATGCTGTATTTTCTGACTTTAACAAAGTGTTATATGTATACCCAACTACTGGAAAAGTAAACTGAATACAGATTTTCACTGTGAAAAGCCCAGTGAAAAAATTGGATATATTCACCAAGTAAAGAAATTTATCAAATTTTTAATTCCCTGGAAAGCAGAATTTGGTGCCAGAACAAATTTAAAGAAATCATTTGAACTTCTGTCACTATGAAATATAAACTGGCTATGGGTAACATTTCTGAATTCTTGAGCAGTTCCATGTTTTGAACCAGTATATCTTGCATATCAAATGACAAAGCATCAACTTTCACTCACATCAGTGGAGAATAGATGGTGGCTGTCTTCTCAGGAAACTGTTGTAAAGGGAGCTATTTTGGAGGTAATGCTAAGCAAGGTAGAAGGAACACTTTAAGGATGCTTTTAACTATCTCTTCAAAATAAGATGATATATTTGGAAAACTGAGAGGCAAGTCTGACTTGCATCAATAAGGTTTTGAACATGGTCATCATGGTGAGTGCTAAAGGAAACTATTTTTCTGTAAAAGAATTCTTAGCTTTATCCTAGGAAAATAACAAAAATAGAACAAAGCAAAAAACTCTGTGCCTATATGCTATCTCAGGTTTGTCTTTTTAGCTGCAAATCTTCAGTGTAATGATCACCAGTATTCTTTAATATAGTAGATAACAATGTGAGTAATGCAGCTGCAACCTAAATGTGCTTGGTAAATAG